CAATAATACTTTCCGATCTGGAATTCAGTAGACCATATATAAACTACTCAAACATTTTGTGTTAAAAATATTCCGGTGACACTAAACCTGAGGTCGAGGTGGGTGTAAACTCTGAAGCAAGTGGCCGTCCCCAAACTTTTACCTATACTTTGTAAAAGAAATTACACCACCGCTGCCACAAGCTAAAGTGTAGCACCACAAACTAAACTAAATGTGACAAATACAGATGGATACAAAAATTTTCCTTAATCCCTAACTCTCATTTGAGTATTTTTTTATTTGAGAAACTGACACTAAACATGCGGGGCCGAGGTAAGTGTGAACTCATAAGCAAGAAGCCGTCATCACTGTACAAATGACTTCAAATCTGGTATGAAGAAATGAATCTAGTATGAAAAGGTGCATACTGCCCTTCAGTGTTTTGTAAAACTCCTTGTAGCTACTAGTATCTGCATAAAGTTTTCGCTGCCAGGTTTATCCACAAATTGTTTTTGATTTCTCGTAGTTTACACGAAAAGTTGCTGTAGGTAATATGAAAGGTTATTTTTTTCATAGGCTGAGTAAGATGTATCTCTTGTGGGCGGATATCCTTTTCCCCTGCACATCTTGGAACTCCTTGTCATTTTCTTTAAACCAGTCTTTGATTTTCCTTGTGGAGAACACTTGGACTTCTAAGGTCTGGCGGATAGCAGTCTTCAGGTGTGACAAAACAATTCTGGACAGGAGTTCACCTGGATGTCAGCTTTCATTGTAACTGACTAGAAGTTGCCAACCTGAAACTTCTCCCTTTCAGTGTTTTTGGGGATGTTGACCTTGCCATCTGTGGGGGTGTTCTGTACGAGGCTGATAAGATCAGTGTAAAACTTACCCTTAGCGTCAGCTTGAACGGTGGGGTCATAAATGCTGACGAAAGTAACATGATGCTTGCTTTGAAGTGAGGCACGTGAAGCTGATGCGATCGGAGTGACCAGTTGTTGTATTATTGATTTTTAGGCAATTGAGTTTCTCATCCTAAAAGCACTCACAAGACATTTTAGCTGTCTTTAACTTGTCTGATCAGTTGTGAGTGAGTGAGTGAGTGAGTTGAGAGTGTAGTGTTGTGAGATTGTCTAAGTTCTTAAATGCTGCCTTCCTTCGCTAAGAGCGGCAATGTCAATATCTAATACTGTATATCAAGCATCGTTATTCCAGCAGGCAAGCAATTAGTTTTTGTACTCCATTTGAGGCATGCATCTACCTTTTTGTAAGTGCTCGATGACCTGCTGGCTGCAGTCAGCAACTGGAAGGAATGGAAAAGGGCTTTGGTAAGGCCTCTGTTTCTACGCCATTCTCCATGTGGAGCAAGCAGTGCTGTCTAAAGACGGATGCTGTCACTCCCATCAAGCGGCCAATATCCCGAACTGCCTACATGTAGGATCAAAACAATGGCTTTCAGTGACATCTTCAACCTGACAACTTTCCACCCTTTCATTTCTCATTGATGCAAAAC